GCACTTTTAAAACAAAATCTCCTTCACGATTACCAAAAAGAGAACTCTAAACTCAATTCCTGCAGACTCTCAAGTCTCATATGGATCCTACTCATAAATATTTGACCCGAGACATCTTCAAACAGTGGCTTCTAAGCAGCATCTGATTTCAACACTGGATGTGAACTTGGCCACTTCAAGCATCACATTCCTTCGTGTCCTCACTGCTAGTCATCCATTTCCTCTGTGTCCTTTCCATTTTTCAGACTTTTAATCATGAACTTTATCAACAGATGCAATCAAAGATACCCTGAATGTCAGGAATTTGTGAAGGTAACAGTAATCTATTTCAGAATTTAAAACATCCATTCAAAATATCCATTAAACAAATTCACTTTTTTATATATTTAACTAACTATTTAACCCTGACTGTTAGCAGGTTTCAACTGCAAATCCTCATGAAAAGACCACTTCTTCAAAGAATGTAAGGATTTTGCATTCTCTTCATAGCCCACTGTCCATAGATGATGATCATTTAACATTTCTTTCACAAGAGTTTAATGCTTCCCTGCATCCATTTTTTACTTCCACACACTATCCTTCTCTAGCCTGTTTTCTAACCTCTATAAACTTTGTCTGCATATGGGAGCTGTCCCTGCCCATGGCAGAGGGGCTGGAACTAGATGGTCTTAAGGTTCTTTCCAATCCAAACCATTTTGTGATTCTATACGGCAGTCCATGTACGTACACATATTGTAATTTGTCAATAAAGAGAAAACAAAGATATATTTAAGGCAAAAAATGGGTGTACTGAACTAAATTTGATTTCTTCAGAATAAATGTGAAGCTACCATAACATACAAGGAAATCTCATATACCATAAAAAATTAAAAGCTTATCCATCCACATATGTTTCTAGAAAAAATGCTTATAGAGGCTTTTAGTGACATTTCTGATTTTAGCCTATTATATAGAATTTAAAACTTCATATAAAAAGTGCAAGAGAAAATTGTTCTCCTTTTTTGAAAAAGAAACCACAGTAGAACCACAGTAAAACTGTAAATGTTTAACTCAGCAATTTCAGCATTGACTGCCCATCTGTTTAGCTTTTCTCTTCTGATATAAAACATTCTTTATCTGTCATCTACAAATGTAGTATGTGAACAAACATATCATGATCTTCTACATAAACACTGAAAAAAATATTCCAGTCCCATGCAACTGTGTAGCATTTCCAAATTAACCATGCTAAAGTCAGAGATAACAAGTGCTATACCAGTAGCACTGCATGATTAAAAAAAAAATAATAAAGTCTGTCTATAATATAACACATACAGCAGCATCATCCACTTAAATAAAAATCAGTATTTCTTTCTCAGGATAATGAATGGGTACCAAATAATTTGGAAAAAGCAAAGCCTGAGGTAATACAAAGCACAAGCCAGGCTGTAATGTCAAAGGACACAGATTTAGACTTGCAAAATCCATAAGTAAACTTTAAATCGTAAGAGAAAGAGCCGAGATTGGTTTGTGCAGCACGCATTTTGCATTACACATCAGCCATGAGAACTGAAGTTAGGCTACATCAGTTTGATTCTCAACCCAGTAATTCACTCACGGATCATGACTGTAGGTCTTTCATCAGATAACTTGGAAAAAATAGATAGCCAAGATATTATATACCTGAGCTGAACAGTAATAATCTTTGTTTCAGACTTGTAATAAAAAGTTATGGCAAAATTACTCTATTAACGTCACAAAATCTTGTATTTTTTTATTCTAAGCAAAAGTACATTAAATACTCAAAGCCACTTACCACTATGACCTTCAAGAATTTGATTCACAGAAAGATTGCTAGGAGCTGCGAGTCCCTTTATTTTTGCTTCATCTGAAAATAACAAAACTAGCTATAAAATCAGCCTAACAAAGCACACATATTACTGTGTCTCTATCAATACTGCAGCTCCATTCACTGCTTACACAGATAAAATTATTCACCTAAAAGAATGTAAATTGTAACTGCAGAATGAATTTTCCACCCTCAGTTCAATGTGTTTGCTATTCACATCTGTCATCCAAATTCATACACTCTTTATGATCAAGCAGTTTTTCAGGGGAAAAAAAAAAAAACACTAAAAACCAAACATACACACAAAAGAAAAAACCCCACACATTAAAAAAAAACAACCAGGGCTATCATGTTTTGTAACACTCAGTAAAAGAAGTTAAAAATAATTTGGAAGTATATTAGATTTTACTCTTCTTGGAACATTTTTATTAAGACAAAAATTGACAGCTTTCTCCATAAAATAATGAAGATGCTAGACAACATTGAAACAAAATAAAGAAATCATAAGATAAATTCAAAAATAACCTGAAAGCCTATACAAAATGAACAAGAATAAAACATGTGCCCTGAAAAAGAAAAAAAGCAGTAAAAAAAACTTCAGCAAACGTAACGGGTACACAAATTACACATGCGCCATGTAAGACAAGCTGGAGGAAATCTGTGCAAAAGAAAGTAACAGAACATTGGATGTTTTGGCAAATACATATCTATGTACAGGTTTAAAAGGTGCAATACCATCAAGAAACTTGTGGAAGCAGTTATGCTTCCTGAAGTGCAGTGGATTTTGTTCTTAAGAAAAACAAAGAAACAAATAAACAAACAAACCTAAAATCACCCACTCATTTACCTGTCTGTGTTTCTAATTTTAAGACTTTCAGTAATCCATCCTCTCCACCACAGGCTATGAAGCCTTGATCCTTATTCCAGGAAATACATCTTAATCGAACACTACCAGGAATTGCAATCTGAAAAAGAAGCATTTGGTATCTCTACACAGCTATAAGAATCATGTTTTATTTTAAAAACACTCTAACTGAACACCTCAAAGATACCTATGATACCACATCAGGTAAACTTATTTCTACCAACAGATCAGTACGTGCAAAAAGAAACAAAAGACAGAGTTACAAGCACCAGTGAAACTGCAACACAAAGCTTGAGAAAAGGTAACCTAATACATGCAGTAAATCATGATAGCAGGACATCTTCAAAGGTGTGCTGAGAAGGCATTATGAGCAACGAAGGAGGGGAGAGGGATGCACAGAGCTCTGACAAGAGCTGAACCGACATCTCAAGAGCAAAGACCAAAGCCCCAAGCCGTGAACCCAGGCCGCGAAGGAGCTGGCAGGGCAGATCAGGGCATCACTCTGGGCAAGGGCCAACCCCACGACCGCACCACCAGCGCCAGCAGAGCTGCAACCAGCGGGAGAGTCCCAAGGAGTCCCCTCAGCGCCCCGAGGCCTCAGAGCTCCCAACCTCCGGGGGCTCCCGCCCCGGCTCTCCTCCGTGCCCCAGGAGTACCTTCTTGCATAGGTAGATGAACATCCTGGCGGAGCGAGAGGGCCACCCCTCACAGCTCCTCACGGCAGCACGGCTCGGTGGGCCGCGTCACCCTGGCAACCGCAGCCGGAAGTGCCCTCCGCGCGCGCGCTCTGTTATTTCCGGGAGTGGGAAGAGAAAGGTGGGGGCTGCTGTGGTGCTGCCTGCAGTGGGCTCCAGGCACAACTCCTCATACCTATCAGGCCCCAACCCAGAGGTGCCTCCAGAGGCGGTGGCAGCCATGAGGCACTGTCCTGCCTTTGCCTGTCGCCTGTCGCCTGCCGCCTGCCGACAGCCACGGCAGAGGATAGCTCCTCTGAGAGGGAAGGTGGGCTGGGAGTTTGCCCACCCCGCCTCAGTGGTTGACGGTCGTACACACCTTGGGTAGAAAGCACTGATAATTCATTAATAAAGGTCGCTCGGCTTTTACATGAGGGAAACTCGAAAGCTTCTGAATCCCAAATTGTTTGTACATAATGGTTTTAATGTAACATGCATCAATACATCCTCAGCCCAACCTCAGAGCTGCCCCAGGCCTAGCTGTTTAAAAGCCTGCCCAGCTGGCAGCTTGCACTTGGCATGGTTAAACTTCATAAGGTTGGCATCAGCCCACCTCACAAGCGTGTCAAGGTCCCTCTGGATGGCATTCCTTCCCTCCAGTGTATCAAATGAACCACAGAGTTTGGTGTCATCGGCAAACTTTCTGAGGGTGCGCTCAATCCCACTGTCCATGTCACCAAACTTCGCCTGCTGATTTTCCTTGCAATTGTTTGTATCTATTATATGCAGGGTATGAAGCAAGCACAGATGTCATTATAATATGTCCTTGGCATACCAGCTACTGATGTAATATTTTGTGTGACTATATTGCAGATCTATACAAAATACATTGGATTTTTCAATTCTTAAAACAATGTATTGTTATAATTGTAGTTTTGACTCCATCTTCAAATGTATTTAAAATTAGTTTCTGAAGTATTTGGATTCTTATAAATGCCAAGTGCACAAAATGAGTGGATTCTTTAATGATTACATTTTTTAATTGTTAGGTTGCATGTTTTGTCCGACAAGCCAAACTGACACAACTAGTCTCAGTAAAGTCCATGGAACGAGAACAGAAATAACTGACTAATAACAAATATAAATTTTTCAGTATAAAAAAACTAAAATTGGAGGACACCTTTATCCTTCTGAGTGTTAACATTATTAATACTTGAAATTACTTTAAAACCTTTTATCTATATTAACAAGGACTTTCAGGTTTTAAAATCAAGCACTTTTTTTTCCAACTATGTGGCTTGGGGATAGTCCCCTGTTTAATTCTGTCAATGTCTGCCATTTATGCTTCCTTTATCTTTGAGGTTTTGTTTCCTTGTTTTTGGTAAACCCTTTATTTCATAACACACATAATTTTTCAGTTAAATATACAAACCATTCCAACATCAGTGTGCATAACATACTTTATTTTATTAAAATAAGTTACAAGATCCCAACTTACTTTCTCATTTAATGGATAGAAGACATGGGCACACTATTTACTCTGCCTTGCCATTTCACAGTTTTATACAATGTCATATAGTGTATCCTTTTATTTATTTACTTTTAAACAAGATAATGAAAATGCAGTTACTGCTTGTACAGCAAAGCAGAGCAGGTACAGACAGCTTTATGGTTATAAAGTGACTGCACATGAAGATCCAGGATCTGTTGTCTTCCTGAAGTCTTCTTGACATATTCTTTGTCAATAACAACAAACCAACTGCTGTTTTGTGAGCTGTGCAACAAAATAAAGCTTGCTGAACTCAATAAAAAGGATTGATTCTGAAAGAGTATTTGAAGATTAAGTAGAATGATAGCTCAGACAACCTGCTGTCCACCTTGATAATGCCTCCAGCTTCTCAGACACTTTGTCTAGTGGTCAGTTGTTAAGGGTAAAAAAATTCAGTGTCTACAAGGTTTGTTTTCTCTATAAACTTTCTCATTGCTACATTTTCAACAAACAGTCTGTTTTCCAGGTGAGATCAATACATGGATGAACCAGAGATTGCAAAACATTTTAGAGACGTGTCAATGTCTGGCAACTTCCCAAATGATCTCACCAACCCTAATTGCTTATAAGGAGTTGGACCAAGTGACATTCAGAGCTGAAGAGCAGCAGGTGACTGTCTCTGCTGCTTTTTCCAGGTTGCCTTGAAAGCATGCTAGGGATACAAATTGCCCACCAAAGAATAACTTTAGAAGAAAGCCTCAGTTATTTGTAATAAAGTATATCCCTAACATGAAACCACTGCATTTTATTCCATATCTTTGGGGAAGAAAGACTGATCTCTGAAGGACAGGATACTATTGAGATGATGTTACAGGTTTCATTATCTTGGTGCTCAGTTTTAACTACTTGGATTCCATGGAATTATATATTACAATCCAAGGAAAATCATCATCTTCCCTTCACTGTTTCCAGACTGAACTCCAAGCACACTGCAAGAGGGATTTGCAATCAGATTTTATAAAAATAACTCTGAATTTATTCAAGCAGTGGGGAAGTCTTGTGTCATGGGCAGAAGTTTTCATTTGCCCTTCAGAAACTTTGGTAACCTGAGAAATTAGTTTATCTGTATAAATGAGTTCACATATAAAACTTGCTATTTTGCTTTCCTTCTTTGATTAATCCTAGATACCCCACTCTTCCTTGATTTTGAAGCCCCAGGGATCAGGATGACAACCACAGGCATAATGCTCATCTAAAGCAATTCCTATTTGAACAAGAGCATCTTTTACAAGAAAAAAGCAAGCAGTCTCAAAAAAACCTATCACAATCTTCGGCAAATCTTTGGCAAACTGTGATCAATCACTGTCACATCTAAAAATTGTGCCTTATGATGAATCACGGTTTTCCCAGCTTTAACTTCCAGTTACTAGTTCCTGCTGTGCCATCTGAGGGCATTTATTACATCATTCAGGTTTGCTGTGGTCCAGGGTTCACTACTATCACTTTTTTGTTTGTCTTTTCCTTTCCCACATGTTTGTAAAATGTTGGGCTCGCACCCAACAGCCTGTACTTGGATGTTTCATGGAACCAAGCTTTGCCTCCAACATCATCACCCTGCCTTGAAGCTCTCCCATTCTCCTATATCCCAGCAGCTGGATATTCATAGGTTAGCACATTTTCATGGAAAAGAAGAAGGTCCATCAAAATTGCTTGGTACAATGCCTGCCTGCAGAGGTGGGATGCAGAGGAATACTGCAGCTGATGGGACTGTGTTCACCCTGCCTGTGAAGTTGTCTTGAAAATTTGAGACATAATAGGAGGGATCAAAACTGAGCATTTGCTGTAACAGTAAAAGTCATCTGGAAAAACTATGAATAAAGCAGTTCAACATAGCATATATAACCTAGGGGTTATGGGTATATGTATTTTATCTTTATCTTGGTACCAAAGCCCTTCAATAAAATGTGAAAACGTAGTATTTGAAATAAATGAGATTTTGCTTCCTGTGTTAAGGTATTTTCGTTCCACAGCTTATATCAAAACAGGTATCTCTAAAATACTAGTAAATGACTGAATGCAGAAGATCATGTAAGAAAAAGGATATATTTTGTAGACAGAGCTTCAAGGCGTGAGGTGACTGAGTTCTGCAGGGCAGCTATGGCTTCACACTTACAGGACTCTTCAGTAGTTACAAGACTGCTTGTTGTGGCTCCTAAGAAAGAAAACAGCATTTACAGTATTTATGACAATTATCAAACACTTAAATCCCAGGGAAACACTTGATTCTGCAATGGAAGTTGACCTCCTGCTGTGAGACTATAGCAAGCACTGAAACCCAGGGCAGTTGGGAAGGAGGGACAAGGGCTGGTGTGGAGACACAAATTCTGCTAGACCAGGTTCCTCAAAGCCCCTGGGCTTGAATGCTGCCAGGGATGGGGCAGCCATAGCTTCTCCGGGCAACCTGTGCCAGTGCCTCACCACCTTCACAGTAAAGAATTTCTTACTTATATCTAAATGTATCTAAAGAGAATCTAAATCTATACAAAGTCAAGGTTGCTGCCGTGTTAAAGCTGGACTTTAATGGCATTTGGGGTATCAATCATTGCCAAACACAGCACTCCTGAGAATGCATTAGTCCAAAGTTAAGCTTCCAGGAGTTTTGCAAGCTAAGCAGGAAAGCACGTAGTGATTTTAACCACATAAAGAGTCATTCAGTGTCAGAGATTCATCAGTTTCCATCAGTTTCTGAGATGTAGATGAAATTAGATACTGAAATCTCAGCTTGGGAAGAAATAAGAAGAATACAATTTACCACTGGCAAATAATACAAAAATGAAACCAGGAACACATGCATTCATTTAAAATACTAAGCAATAGAGTTCAGCTAGATTATCAATGTGTATCATAGATACAATGTGTATCACCCCACAAGTACTACTGGTTTGTAACATTTGCAATATACATGCATAGGGAGTATAATTTTTGATTCAAGTGGTGTGAACATTCCAATGTCACATGAATATGGATAGAGGGAACATCGCATTCAAATAGGCCCAAATGAATTTAAAATCTAGTAGAAAGGCACAGCAGTATTAATTGAGGAGCCAGATAGTATGATAGAGAAGTCATTAATCTGTTAAGCAAGAGAAAGCAAGCATTGCCCTACTCCACAGTGGTTCCATTGAATCTGTTCCTAGGTCTTGCCCTCAGTCTTCCAAATTTACAGGGGACTAGCCTCAGCTGTCCTGAAGAATTTCTTTTTCGCCATAATCCACCCCAAAACCAGGGCTCAGAGATGATAATTTCATTGTGGTATAATGTGAGTTCTTAGCTACGTGAAAGGCAATTTAACCTCACCTACTCTACAAAGAAAATAGGAATTAAGATCTACCACTTGCTGCAGGCTTATAACAAACATATCAACAGCTACAGAAGCACAAGTACTGTAGTGAGATTACCATCTACATCTGAGACCAGAATAATAAGCTTCCAAAGGTAGAGCCTTCTTAAAAAAGGGCCCACAAGTATGAAATACCCTTTCAACAAGTTATCAAGAGGTAGTACCTGCATGTAATATCTATCTATACATGCTTTTTTTTTTTACATTGCCTCCAAAGGCAACGACAGCAGATTATTCAGTAATTTTTTTCTGTAGATATATAAATGCATAGCTAATAAATACCGAACAAATAAGGTGAGCATTATAATAGTAAAACAATAGAAATATTATACCTGGATACAATTTCTCCTTTCTTTTTTTTTTTCTGAATTTTGGGTTCATTTTTTTGTTTCTCAACCATGCCATTGGTACTTGCATTTTGCAGGGAAACTGCAAAGTCTATGAACAGATTCATTTCTAGCATGGAGAAATTAATTTGTCTTAGAGCCAGTGTTGAAACTGGTGTCTCCTTGATTCCACCGAACTGGTATTTGTTCATCTCCCTTCTTTGGAACATTTCACAGGCTTTATGGTCAATGTACAAAGAAGAGCTGTTCAAGAGTCAGCTGGAGGAAGGCCAGTTCCAAACACCACAGCAACGTGGCTGGTTTCTAACCAACTGTCAGGGGTTTTTTTATGTTTCAAATGAAATTCTCCAATGACAGATACAGATCCAGATACAGATCCTCCTTGGATTATGTCCATTTTAACAAAATTACTTTTCCAGCCAACCTTGGCAACTGCCCAAGGGTACCCTGAATTCTTCTACAGTCCTTCTGTGAAATGTAGTCTTCCAGTATTTGATATTCAGAATCTTGGACACCCCTATTGCCACTGGGATGCTCAACAAGTCATACTAAACATGCTAGAGTTATGTTTTTATGCTGCATTTTACTGTTTATACTGTTACACTGTTTAAGTCCAGACCTATTAAAAATTACTATATTTACAGATGGCATTTGGCTATATCCACCTATTTTATAACTTTGCTCTTACATGGGGATCTTAGCCACGTGGTGTAATGGCAAGTTATTCCTGCTCTGAACCAGAAATCATACTAGGTACCTCTTGAGGTCCCTTCCAGTCTGACTATGATTACTTTGCACAATCTGTGCTCATTAGGATGGCAGCTGCCTGGCCTCACCGGATATGAAGTGCTAGACCACCTCCAAAGGCATGCTAGGAAAAGTTTCCAGTACACAGTAACTTTAGTCAGGAGACCGGGAAGGGAAGGAAAAAACCCTTATAAAATGATTGCATATTTACTATGACACAAAGTCCCTGAGAAGCTAAAGAAACAAACAGCAACATGAAATTCAGTTGGGAGGGGAGGACATCACATCAAACTGTCTCCTGCGTGGTGGTACACAGATTCACAGTACTGCAAAGTGTTTTACTGTGTGACTTAACACCAACTCTTCTCTCTTTAATTATGTCTCAGTTCTAGGCTCACTGAATATTGCATATTTTATATATAGAGTGAAGGCTTTAGTTTTAAGATGATAAAGGCCAAATGGTAAGCAGTTACTAGCATTGTTACATATGAAGTGCTTTATATCTCTGAATGTTACTCAAAGTGGTAAAGGCAAAGTGATACAGAACTGTCTTATAACATGTGAATGCATGTGAAAATTTGTCAGATAGATCCAGTCCTTCTAATGAGAGCTGGGACTGTGAGAATGAAGACCTTGAGCCCACTGTAGGAGTGGATCTTGTTCGAGACCATCTTAAGAACCTGAACATGCACAAGACCATGGGACATGATGAAATCCATCCGCGGGTCCTGAAGGAGCTGGCAAATAAGGTTGCTAAGCCACTGGCCATCATATTTGAAAAATCATGGCAGTCAGATGAAGTTCCCGATGACTGGGAAAAGGGAAATACAACCCCCATTTTCAAGAAGGGGAAAATGGATGACCCAAGGAACTACAGACCAGTCAGTCTCACCTCTGTGCCTGGCAAAATCTTGGAGCAGATTCTCCTGGAAGGCATGCTAAGCCACATGAAAATCAACAAGGGGCTTGGTGAGAGCCAGCATGGCTTCACTAAGGGGAACTCCTGCTTGACCAATTTGGTGGCCTGCTATGATGGGGCTACAGAACTGATGGACAGGGGTAGAGCAGCTGACGTCATCTGCCTGGACTTGCGCAAAGCATTCAACGCTGTCCCACACGACATCCTTGTCTCTAAATTGGAGAGACATCAGTTTGATAGATGGACCACTCGGTGGATAAAGAACTGGGTGGATGGTCGCATGCGAAGAGTTGTAGTCAATGGCTCAATGTCCAATCGGAGACCAGTAACGAGTGGCGTCCCTCAGGGATCGGTGTTGGGACTGGTCTTGTTCAGCATCTTTGTCGGTGACACGGACAGTGGGATTGAGTGCGCCCTCAGCAAGTTTGCCGATGACACCAAGCTGTGTGGTTCGGTTGGTACACTGGAGGGAAGGAATGCCATCCAGAGGGACCTTGACATGCTTGTGAGGTGGGCTGATGCCAACGTCATGAAGTTTAACCATGCCAAGTGCAAGGTCCTACACCTGGGTCGGAGCAATCCCAGGCACAGCTACAGGTTGGGCAGAGAAGCGATTCAGAGCAGCCCTGCAGAGAAGGACTTGGGGGTGTTGGTTGATGAGAAAATGAACATGAGCCGGTTTCAGTGTGCGCTCGCAGTCCAGAAAGCCAACCGTATTCTGGGCTGCATCAAAAGGAGTGTGACCAGCAGGTTGAAGGAGGTGATCCTGCCCCTTTACTCTGCTCTTGTGAGACGTCACCTGGAGTATTGTGTGCAGACTTGGTGTCCTCAACATAAAAAGACATGGAACTGTTGGAACATGTCCAGAGGAGGGCCACGAGGATGATCAGGGGACTGGAGCACCTCCCATATGAAGACAGGCTGAGAAAGTTGGGGCTGTTTAGTCTGGAGAAGAGAAGGCTGTGTGGAGACCTCATAGCAGCCTTCCAGTATCTGAAGGGGGCCTATAGGGATGCTGGAGAGGGACTCTTCACTAGGGACTCTAGTGATAGGACAAGGGGTAACGGGTTAAAACTTAAACAGGGGAAGTTTAGATTGGATATAAGGAAGAAGTTCTTTAGCGTAAGGGTGGTGAGGCACTGGAATGTGTTGCCCAAGGAAGTTGTGAATGCTCTATCCCTGGCAGTGTTCAAGGCCCGGTTGGACTGAGCCTTGGGTGGCATGGTTTAGTGTTGAGGTGTCCCTGGCCATGGCAGGGGGGTTGGAACTAGATGATCTTAAGGTCCTTTCTCACACTAACTATTCTATGATTCTACTTCAATACGTGTACTGAGCTGGGGAGGGTATGGGAGATACAGAACAGCAATCTTCTCTTAATTGAGCAAGTCTTCTTGTCTGGGTTCAGGGTGTAGCCTTGGTAGCAGTCACAAGTATAGGACAGATCGTGTTTCACACAGATCTGCTCACAGTCATGCCTTCCGGGTTCACACATGTCCACAGCTAAGGAACACAACATGAGGAGAGAAGAATATTAGTCAATACCCAGATCTTCAGACTTTTAAACTGGTGTTAGTAGTCCCCTTTTGCAAACATATCTTCATTTAGAATCAAACCAGGATGTTTTTATTGCATGTCAGGACACTATTAGCCGTAGCAGGGAAAACAAAGAGTGTTTCCATCTTGCAATTAGCATCATAAAATTAATACAATTTTTGGAATATTGGCAACACTTTTGCAGTTATAACAGATTGCAAAAGGAATTGAATTAGCAGTGATCCAGCGGCAAGGTAATTATCCAAAGGAATTTCAGAGAAGAAATAACTGGATTTTAAGAAATTATTTGGCATGATTTCAGCTCTAATTGGGTTGAGTAAGACACTGTTTTACAGAGTGAAAACGTTATAAACAGAAGAGTACATGGCTGCTGAATAAAAAAGAGACTTGGCCCTCTCTGCCAGTTACAAAGCGGGCACCTTTTGTGTGAGGCTAATTATTTCTGCCAAATCTTACACATCAGCTCTGAAAGGGAAAGTTGACAGGGAGTTCCTATATTTGGATATCTTTGCAGTAAGGAGGTCCAGTAAGGCACAAGGAAAGAAAGAATGATGGAAAGAATGAAGGGAAAGAAAAATTTAAAAAAGAAAAGTGAAGACCCCTCCTGGACCTAGACTATTTTTGTTACATCACAAAGACCTGTATGGATGAGAAACTCTTGAATAATTTATCAGAGAAATAACACAAATTAACATGGTTTTTAAGAGCTACTTGCTTTTAGCTTAACACAGTATTTCCCTAATCAGGTCTCACCTGAGCAAGTCTTCTTGTCTGCATTCAGAGTGTATCCTTCATAGCAGTCACAGCTGTAGGATCCATCATTATTCAAACACACCTGTGCACAATCATGCCTTCCAGGTGCACACATGTCCGTGGCTGCGGTGAACCATGTTTTAGAAAAGAAACCTATTAATCCCTCCCAGACACTCAAGCATTTTAAATGCTTCACTATTCATAAATACAATTTAATTAGGATTCAACCAGCACCCTACTACATTATTATATTATGCTGCAGACAGCTAAATTCAGTTAGTAATTATTTAATGCAGAAGGTACATACCAGGACTGCAAGACATTACTACACCACATCTCACACAAGTCTGATTTTCATGAGCAATTATAACAGTGCTGAATATGCCCAGTAAGGATGAAGCTAAAACGCCATACTGAGAAAAAAACAAATGCACAAATAAGCAGGACTACAAGAAGATTATGTTCTCTCTTCACAAATAAGAAGAGTGAAAATTTAAGTGGGAAGAATGCTTATGTGCTCTCAAAGGGAGGGATGCACTTACAAAATAGCTACCCTAAGGCTGGTGCTGCTCAAAACTTCTGGATTAAAAGAAACAACAAAGAGAAGTATTTGGAGAGAAAAAAGTTTTTATAATAAGCTGTTTTTTTCAGAGAGCCAATTCAAGGAGTAGAAAAGGAAGAAGCTGCTGTCAGTATAAGACCAGGGTTGCTGTATAGCAGAACCCTACACAACTTCGGGAGCAGAAACAGCAAGCTGTAAAAACCGTTTCAACAGGAAAGATGGAGAGGACATGGGAAAATCATCAGGCTCTAAGTTCTCTATGGATCTGTGGCACTCACTCTTCAGTGGAGACACAGTGCTGGAGGGTATCTCCAAGTAAGTTCATTCTCCCTCAGGGACTAAGTTTATGAAGTACTATGAAGACCATAAAATGGTAGGTAAGTGCCACATTGCATTTTTTTTTTATCAATGCATTTAAAGAAAAATGCAGTGCTGCTGTTATTGGAACCAAGGGGAAAAGCTCCAGGTCAACTCTTAAAATGAGAGTTGATGTCTGTAAGCAATTTTTCAACTAGAAACAATGAGAGTAACTCACAGAAAACATGTCCATGTCTCCATGAATTTCATATATTAAAGCAGCCTTTAACTCTTACATGAGCAAGTCTTCCTGTCTGAATTCAGGGTGTAGCCCTCATAGAAGTTACAGACATAGGATCCGTTGTTTCTCACACAGATCTGATCACAGTCGTGTTTTCCAGGTGCACATGTGTCCACAGCTGCAAAACACATGTTTAAACAAGTAATTGTTAATAAAAAGCAGTTTAAGATGAAGTTCATATTCACATTATCAGATAGATTTGGAATCAGCTCAGAAACTGCAATAGTAATTGAAAGAATTAGAGTGGTAGGAGAAAATATCTATATAATGTCTACATCTGAAGACTTTGTTTTGTCATCTGGCCCTAATGAATGTATCTGTAGGCATACAGATAACAAGGATGGTGATAGAATCAAACTATTTCTCACCATTACTTGCAGCAAAGTTTTATTTATTAAGATACAGATGTTCACGATTTCAACAGAAATACACAAGTAGCTTCTCAAATCCCATTATGGTGTTAAAAAGTGGTATCTTTCTAGTTGCGCATATTTACTGAAGGAGTAATACCTGAGCAGGTTCTCTTATCTGGATTCAGAGCGTAGCCTTCATAGCAATCACAAAGGTAGGATCCACTGTTGCTCACACAAATCTGCTCACAGTCATGGGCTCCAAGTGCACACACATTCACAGCTACAAAGGGTATTTACAGAAAAAGAATTTCAGTTATCCCAAAGGAAAGAAACAGTCATGAATAATTTATGCTTACAACAGTACATCTTGCATTGTTTGCTGGATTAGTAGCAGTGAAGGTCAGTGCATTGTCACTATCACAGAAAGTTACAGGCATCTTTTGCATCATTCTATAGCCAGAAGAAAGAGGTCATGACCGACACAAAAAGGGCAAGAAGGAGGACCCGGGTAACTACAGACCGGTCAGCCTCACATCCATCCCTGGGAAAGTGATGGAACACCTTATCCTTGGTGCCATCTTAAGGCATATCAAGGATAAGAGGGTTATGAGGGGCAGTCAACATGGCTTCACCAAGGGGAAATCATGCTTGACCAATCTCTTAGCCTTTTATGAGGAAATAACACGGTGGATGGATGATGGCAGAGCGGTGGATGTGGTCTACCTTTGACTTCAGCAAAGCATTTGACACAGTCTCCCACAGCATCCTCACAGCTAAATTGAGGAAGTGTGGTCTAGATGATCAGGTAGTGAGGTGGACTGTGAACTGGCTGAAGGAGAGAAGCCAGAGAGTTGTAGTCTATGAGGTGGAGTCTAGTTGGAGGCCTGTAACTAGTGGAGTGCCTCAGGGGTCAGTACTGGGACCAGTATTATTTAATATATTCATCAATGATTTAGATGAGGGAACTGAGTGTACTATCAGCAAGTTTGCTGATGACACTAAGCTGGGAGGAGTGGCTGACACGCCAGAAGGTTGTGCTGCCATCCAGCGAGACCTGGACAGGCTGGAGAGTTGGGCAGGGAATAACTTGATGAAATATAACAAAGGAAAGTGTAGAGTCCTGCATCTGGGCAGGAACAACCCCAGGTTCCAGTATAGGTTGGGGAGCGACCTGTTAGAGAGCAGTGTAGGGGAGAGGGACCTGGGGGTCCTAGTGGATGACAGGATGACCATGAGCCAACGCTGTGCCCTTGTGGCCAAGAAGGCCAGTGGCATCCTGGGGTGTATTAGAAGGGCAGTGGTTAGTAGGTCGAGAGAGGTCCTCCTTCCCCTCTACTCTGCCCTGGTGAGACCGCATCTGGAATATTGTGTCCAGTTCTGGGCCCCTCAGTTCAAGAAGGACAGGGACCTGCTGGAGAGAGTCCAGCGCAGGGCAACGAAGATGATTAAGGGAGTGGAGCATCTCCCTTATGAGGAAAGACTGAGGGAGCTGGGTCTCTATAGTTTAGAGAAGAGGAGACTGAGGGGTGACCTTATTAGTGTATATAAATATATAAAGGGGGAGTGTCACGAGGATGGAGCCAGGCTCTACTCAGTGTCAAACAATGATAGGACAAGGGGTAATGGGTACAAACTGGAACACAAGAGGTTCCACTTAAACTTGAGAAGAAACTTCTTCTCAGTGAGGGTGACAGAACACGGGAACAGGCTGCCCAGGGAGGTTGTGGAGTCTCCTTCCCTGGAGACATTCAAAACTCACCTGGACACATTCCTGTGTAACCTTATCTAGGTGTTCCTGCTCCGGCAGGGGGATTGGAGTAGATGATCTTTTGAGGTTCCTTCCAATCTCTAGCATACTGTGATACTGTGATACTGTGACACTGGAACAACTGCATTGAAATAACACAACGCCTGAGGTGGCAGCCAGGATGGATTGGAAAGGGTACAAGAGGAGTGATTTTAAGCGTTTTGTAACATAATACTGGAAATGAGAACTCAGCAATGAAAAAGACCTGGTCTTTTTCATCCAGTCCCTTTCTATTACAAGCACCTGTCCCTTGCCTTCCCTCAGCAAGTTTGCCGATGACACCAAGCTGTGTGGTTCGGTTGGTACACTGGAGGGAAGGAATGCCATCCAGAGGGACCTCGACACGCTTGTGAGGTGGTCTGACGCCAACGTCATGAAGTTTAACCATGCCAAGTGCAAGGTCCTACACCTGGGTCAGAGTAATCCCAGGCACAGCTACAGGTTGGGCAGAGAAGAGATTCAGAGCAGGCCTGTGGAGAAAGATTTGGGGGTGTTGGTTGATGAGAAAATGAACGTGAGTAGGCAGCGTGCGCTTGCAGCCCAGAAAGCCAACCGTATTCTGGGCTGCGTCAAAAGAAGCGTGACCAGCAGGTCGAAGGAGGTGATCCTGCCCCTTTACTCTGCTCTTGTGAGACCTCACCTGGAGTATTGTGTGCAGTTCTGGTGTCCTCAACATAAAAAGGACATGGAACTGTTGGAACAAGTCCAGAGGAGGGCCACGAGGATGATCAGGGACTGGAGCACCTCCCGTATGAAGATAGGCTGAGAAAGTTGGGGCTGTTCAGCCTGGAGAAGAGAAGGCTGTGTGGAGACCTCATAGCAGCCTTCCAGTATCTGAAGGGGGCCTATAGGGATGCTGGAGAGGGACTCTTCACTAGGGACTCTAGTGATAGGACAAGGGGTAACGGGTTAAAACTTAAACAGGGGAAGTTTAGATTGGATATAAGGAAGAAGTTCTTTAGCGTAAGGGTGGTGAGGCACTGGAATAGGTTGCCCAGGGAGGTTGTGAATGCTCCATCCCTGGCAGTGTTCAAGACCAGGTTGGACAAGGCCTTGGGTGATATGGTTTAGTGTGAGGTGTCCCTGGCCATGGTAGGGGGGTTGGAACTTGATGATCTTAAGGTCCTTTCCAACCCTAACTATTCTATGATTCTATGAAATAATCCCAAAACATATGTGACTGTCTGGCAGCTTACTAACTTCTGCTCACTGGCATAAAACCTGATTTATTAATTCCTGCTGCACTGTAAAAAACTCCCATGTAAACTGAAATGCAACAGAAAATAATAAAATAAAATAAAATAATAAAATAAAAAACAAAAATAGCAACAGAAAAAACTTCAAGACCAGGAGGACAAGAAAAATGACTCAGAGGTGCTAGGATAACAACACTGTCTCCTCAGGGATAAAGAAGTGTCTGTGTCATGATAATCCAGATGTATCAGCCAGCAAAAAAACCCACCATTGCAAGATGGGGGTGTGAGGGCTGCAGTTGCCCTGACCCATCAGATTAAAAAGTCAAGACCAAAAGAAAACATAAAGTTTCTACAGTAAGGTAGCTTTACATGCACATGGATCTCTGAATTGAAGGACAGTACAGAAATAATGTTCAAACCTCAGAGAACTGAAAAGCTGAAACTGCGAACTACAAAATGAGATTGAATTCTTGGGGACCAGCTAATTCCTCAGCAAACAGTAAGGTCATCTGCCTCATCAGACTGAGAAAACAGCAAACAGTGATAGGAAAAGCAGTGTGATGGATGACAGCTGATCTATGTGTGCTGTGGTGACAGGACTCACGACGCAACTGTGGTAATGCTGGGCCATCTCTGCAATGCACTATATGTGTTGACAGTCTTTTCCTTTACAGCTGGTCTAACCAAATAAGTTATTAATTACTGATTAGTTTTTCTCAAGTGTATCTAGCTTTGGATCTGCCACTTCTTTGGTGCCTCTGTTTCTCCCCACAGACTGTAAAAGAAACCTAAATACTCTTACAATGTGGTGATGGACTACTGGTAAAATTAAACTGGAAAGCCACAGTGGTGAAATAAGAAATGAGAAGACAGAGTGCTTGAATCTTCTCATGTATTTCTGAATGCAAGGCAACACTTCCGTTTTTCTATAAAATGGACAATTTTGATGTCCCCTAATACGGCTTATAAGGTCTTGTCCTTCCATTTGTAAAAACAAATCTGAAACCAATCCACATCTTTTCATTCTGCTACACCCTTGGGAATAGGAGAATTCATCTCCATGACTTATGAACAAAATCTGTGGGTGATATTTTCAAACATAACTGAGAAGCTCAGACTCAAATGGTCAGATTTTTGTGGTAGGAAAGTCTAGCCTCCACTGACTTGGACAGATTCAAGACTAAGATTTTCCACTTCCAGGATGGTCTCATGTTGAATGATGCTCTCAATGCATCAAGAACTTGATGTTAGCCAACCATTTTGCCCCTGAACATTAGTTTCACTGTTTTTGGTTCACCCTACAAACAAATTTATTTGCCTTGGCCAAAGCAAAGAAAATCCTAATTGTCACTGGTGGGCTAGATTTCTGAGCAAAAGCAGCCTGGAGCTGGAAAAGACCCAGTTTACCCACAAAGTCTTACAAGACCCTTTTAGATTCATTTGGTTTGTAGGAACCTTTTAAAAAATGATTCCTTTTACCCTGTTCATGTTCATGAATCCCACAGATTCTGGCTAACTGCATTCAGTTACACTGGAAGTGTATATGTGTGAGCTCTCCTTGGTTTATCCTCCAGCCTAGTAAGACCATAATTTCCAGTGGGTTTACTCTTAAGAACAAGAGATTTTTCTATGGTGCTATGAAAGGACTTGCTTTGGCAAGAACGTAAGTGGAGAATTAGTGCTATGTTCACAGCACACATACCTGTCCAGCTAGATGGGCACTTGTACCCTTCCTGCTACCAGAGTGAGGGTCTAGTCACATCAGCAACCCAACATGATGTCAAGCCAAACCTCAAGGCTTTTCCTATGTTAATTATTGGGCAAAGTGTCCTGCCTGCAGATAGTTCCATACATTTATTTCATACCTACAAAAAGACATCTATTCACTCTGAATGTATTCAAGAGGTATGGGTGGTAATTTTTAGTAAGGTTCTGAAATAACAAAGCAAGACATTGCCAACCAAGTTCCTGAGGCAATGGCTGTTATTTTAATGCTCTTATAATGTTCTTTGCACCCAATTTTAGCCATTACTTGATGGAGACACATTTACAAGAAATTTCCTTAGAAATCTATTAGAAAATTCTACTTCATATGACTTTTTAACTGTTAAAATGTTGTAATTTGACTTTTGCAAGTAGGGCTGTGTCACAGCTATCTATAGGAAGTTCTAAATACTCCAGATACATGACCTGTTTCTTCTGTAAATGAGAATAACAACCCACGCTGGCCTAAGATTGTAAGCGGGAGCTGTCTACAATGAAGACGAGGTCAAGGGGCTGGTTCTTGCAGGCAGCGCCTGTCAAGAGGGAAGGGAAACATTTCAGTCATCTCCTACACAGGACCAGAGCTCTCCCCCTTGGGCAGTGAGAGTTGTCATGGCAAACTGTTCCTACCAGATAGATGTTGGCAACCTTCATTCTTTCCTAAAAAGCT